AAAATATAGTACATTAAATCATTATATTCATTTTAATATAAATGTTAATAGTAGACAGTTAGACAACTTCAAAACTGAAAAACATTCAATCCCCATGAACCATTTAGTGTAAACAAACTAGGTCAAATGGAAAAAATATGTGCATTTCCCCCTGCATTCATTAAACATGATCTAAATAAGGCAAGAAGCAAACATTTTGTTGGTTTAAAAATAAGCCTAACAAATTCATTTAATAGAAGCATTACAACTTTGTGTTTGTTACAGTTTGCCTTAACACTTTTTCTCAACGTCTTCAGTTACTAATGTCTGCCCTGAATATTACAGTAGGGTTAAGAGAACGCACCTTTGCATGCTGGGAGTGAGGAGGAAACTGTTCTTTCAGATGCTGGAGAATGTCTGAAACAGCAGAGTACAGGCCCTGCAACAGAAGCAAACAGACATGTTGAAGTCAGGGAGCTGTAAGGAAGACCTGATCCATGTTTATCACCTTTGCCTCAATGCCGGGTCACCTGACTAATGGATGTGCTGGAGCGGGGCAGAAAGCAGACGGACGAGATCGAATTAAATGTGTTACCTGCTCAGCGTGCAGCTCGGCCAGGTGGCACAGAGCCACAGCGAACGCCTCCGTGTTGTTCTGCTGGACCCCGAAGTTGACTTGCTCCAGACTGCTCATGTTGAGAAGCAGCTGGGCCTGCTGCAGAGCCATGGTGCTGCACGAGACACAAGAAAAGGGCTGCTCCTGAATCATGTATTTTTACACCTTCACTTGTAATATGTATTTTTATACTCAAGACAAGTTTGTGTTGTACATTAGATGTGATACACGTTAGAGACATTTCAGGTGTGTTTCACAGAGATGATTTGTTGTGAGTGAAGGGACGGTTGCCTGCGAGCATGCAGTTCACTGTAAGTGAACACAACTGACAAATGGGTGTCAGGGGGGAGTGAGTTGAAGAGCCTGACCTCTTGCCGTACATCCTCCATATTGACGTAGTCTGGGCCAGGCTGATCTCGATCAGCTCCGACAGGCTGTGCTTCCAGTGCAGGATGTCAGTGTCCTTCAGAGCGTCCATCAGTTTGTGGGCTGTCTTCCCCTGCGTCGCCCCCTGCTGGACCAGAGACTGAATGCCCAGAGAGGCCAGGTACTACAGCAGAGAGGGTTATCATCAGTGTGGTGGACAACACGTCAAAATAAAACCTATGCAAAGATCTGGTTAAGATGTGTACAATCAATGATGAAGGATGCATTCTGTGCTGCTTTTTTTTGTTATGTGTGGCAAGCTCTGTTTTAACTCGCTGTTTTTTTATTTAAAAGCTTTATATATATTCCTTTATTAAATAAAATTAAGGATTTAAAAATGAATTTCTTACTCAACATTGCAAACAAGAATAAAATGCAAACTACTTGAATTTGTGTTCATATTAAATCAGAACTATTTAATAATAACCTTTCATAAAAATCCCAAAAAAAAAGTAAACTCAGAGGTGAACATATATCAAAGTTGAGAGAATTTTCATTCTAATTAACAAAGCAGTTTAGTACAGATGTTTATATTTGTTTCTTATGTTATGCCCACATTTAAGATGACAGCATTTTGTGAACGGTTTTCAAAAGCGAGCCAAGGCAATTAAAACATAATGAATTAACTGCCAGCCACTTTAATAAAGGCATTCTTATTAAAGCGCTTATGTGGCACTCACTGGTAGGCAGAAATGGGCAGCCATTTTCACGGAGTCCTCAGTCAGCACCGTGCTGTCAGATCCCTTCATCTGCTCCAGGGTGTACAGCCAACTCTGACACACAGACAGGGAGGAGTAAAATAAGGACACACTCATATTAAATTCAGACATAATTAACCATTTAGTTCATCAGTCTTTATCAATCTTTATGCACTAGGCATTTCTGAAGTTAAATAGATATTTTTTCCAGATCAAATCTGCATTAAAATCGTGATGCAAGAAAAAAAAATCTGACTTTATCTCACAATGAAGTATTATCGTATAGTTGTGTAGAATAACATATTTCACCAGACAGTGCTGCAAGCACACGTGATCGTTGGACTCCTGGGCAATACGGACGGCTTCCTGTAGAGCCAGATCAGCCTGCTGACTAATGGAGAGCAGATATTTTAATAATAATAATAATAAAGCTTTATTTATATAGCACTTTTCATACAGCATGTGAGCTCAAATGGCTTTACAAAATGGCACACATCACAAGTAAAAAATACGCCACAAGCCACATTTTAGCCATGTTTTACAGATACTCTGTTTTTGGAACATGTTCACTGTTAAGACTCCACCAGTTCTTGTACTCACTAGTGGCCGAAGCGACAGTGCAGGCTAGCCAGGTTGAGAGCTGCGTAGCGGAGACTTCGGCCGTAGCCCTCGTCCCCGTTGCTCTTTCCTTCATTACCAGACAGGATGAGGCGGTCAAAATAATGTAAGAGACCGTGGGCGGAGAGGAAGATGTCCTGGACTCTCATGCTGTTCAGGTAGTTTAAATAATGCTGAGGAGAGAGTGAAAATCACAGAGTTGATAAAAAAGATATTCCCGCTATGGAAGACTTTTGACATAGTAGAATAAAATGAGAGGACGGAGCTCACAGCCTCAGCAAAGTCCGGGTTAAACTTCAGCATGTTGTTGAGCTCTTCCTGCAGCGCAGCAGGCTTTAGAGCTTTGTTCTCATCGTTCTTCAGAAGGTAAGCCTGCAGAAAGATGTTTTAAAACACTGTAAGAACGCTAAGGTGCTATATGACCATATCTAGGTTAAACAAAGGATGCTGATGCCTGGTTCATTTATTATCTATTGTGGCAAATCTACAAATTAAAACAAGAATGCATTAATACAGTCAGATAAAGTTTCTTGATTTAACATCTCACCTGTCTTGCAAGAAAGTACTCAGCTTGTTTCTGTGACAGAGGGCCACTGCTTGGAGTATTGTCATTCCTACAGTGGGGCAAAAATAACACAAGGTCAGCTTTTTAAAATCCCTCTGATCAGAAGTTTGACCAGTTAGTAATCTGAACACATTGCGCAGACACACAGTGAATACATTTATAGTAGTAGGTGCCAATGATTAGAACAAAACCCAATTTATAATCCACTTACCGAAGCTCTGACTCAAGCAGTGTGGTGTCCAGCTCCTCTCTGTCTATCCGGTCTCCCACAGTATCCTCAGTGCTGGTGAGGTCCATGTCGGAGTCGTCAGCGACCAGCGCAGGCAAACTGACCCGCCCGTCACCAGGCTTGGCATAGTGACTGTGGTAGTAGAGCTGCAGGGACTTGTACAGCTTGTAGACCTGACTGAAAGACAGCTTGTTGTAGGCCAGAAGCATGTGTCTCATAAAAAGACCTAAAAAATAGGAGGGAAACAAATGAATGCAAAACCTCTTAGTGAGAATAACACAGACAATTCAGAATTTAAAGGGACAATCAAAATGTTATGAATGTTGTATGCGATCCATGGAGAAACAGAACATATTTTAAATAAAGCATGCACTTAAAATATACCCCAGCCTGATTCTCCATTACATCTAAAACAAGTTAGACTGTCACTACAATAAAATGTTTTACCTTATACAACCCCATTTCAATAAAACTAAAGTATCCCTTAAAAAGCTGAGAAATCCTGTGTACTACTCACCTACAACACTGGTTTTATAAGCCTCAGAATCAAAAGCAGTGAATGGGGTGGGAAGAGTGGAAAAGAAGTACTCCATGTCTTTCAGCTCTCCATCTGCCATTTCCTGCAGCCTTTGAAGGAAAAAGACAATGGCCCCTCAGCATCTACACAGGTCCAAACTTTAACATTATTGTGATATTGTATTATCTAACAGATTGGTTATCATTTCACTAGATGCCATACCAAATGCTACATCAAGAGTATACGCTACAATTTCTTAAACTTAAGAGACAATGAAAGCACCAGTAACTAGTAGCCTGGTGACCCTTTCTACCAGAGTTACAGCGTTGCCTGTTGCTGAAGTAATTCAATAAAGTCCCGGTGTTTCAGACGGAAGCAGCGTACCTTTGTTTGACAGCATAAGCACTCTGAGGGCAACACTCCTCCACAGTCTTCAGGAATTGGACAAGAGTCAGGTCTGGACCCTGATAACAAACAAGGTACAGAATCAGCATTCCTTAATTAGAGACAGTACCGATAGAGACACATACAAAACTGTATAAAAACGATATTTAGTAAAGCGTAAAATAATTACACATTTCAAGTATAAAAAGGCAAGTGGCAGCATTATAAAAAAACAAGTGAAACAAGTAGAAGTAATGAATTAGCTGCAGAATGACAGTTGTAAACACTACATTTCCTAGTTTATAAGTATATATTGCACAATGCACTACAACATTCTTGTTACAGGTGTTGGGTGACACAGCTGCTCCACAACACACAGGTATGCAAGATAATACATTGATAAAAACCAACCTGCTGCAAGGGTAGGATGAGTTTGTTAAGCCTCCTTCTCTCGGGCAGAGTGGTTTTAGATGCAGTCATGTCGTACAGCAGCGCCAGGACGGATATTTTATACGGAGTCACCCAGTCTTTGATCCCAAACACGTTAGCGTGGACCACTCCGTTCGTCATCATAGGGTTGAAATACAAACTCTCATGCACGCTCGCCATGTTGCCAGGTCGCGTTAAGCTGCTGTCAAGAAATAACCTTATTTTGTGGCACAGTGGGTCAACATTTAGCGGAAAGAATAGTCCAAGAAGCTACACAGAGAGAAGCAGCTAGCTAACAGTAAGCTAGCATCTCAAGTTTGTTTACCTTCAGATTAAAAGTCTCAAGAAGGCAATAATGTATCAACATTAGTATTATCTAATTTGGAAGATATGGCATTTTACTGACTCAGGTACGTCGTTTTATTTAAAACATGTTGACAAAAGTTGCCTCTTTGCTTTCAAACAACCCTCCCTCCGTCCCCTTAATAATACGTCACGAACCGACTGTTTTTCATAAAACTTAATTTGCAGGTATCAAGCAATGCTGCGATAACAACAGCAAGAAGAACAAATAAATAATAATGACATGTAGGTGATATACTTTCAAAGGCCGATACTGAAGTACTATTATGATTTAAGATGACTTTTCCCCTGGCTTGTCACAGTAAGTACATCTTTATTTTGAAGTTATTAACCGGAAGTGGTTAATACAATCTTGTGCAGAAGTGGCGCGCAATATACTATCATCATGTTGACGATTATTGCCACTAGATGGCAGAAAGTCATTATTATTTAAACGAAACTCAAGCCAATTGTTGAATCCTTCAGCGTCAAGGTGGACACAATATCACAAGTGACAGGTATACTTCCGGTGAATATGTGCACATGAACATTTACAACAGCTCTGTCTGACTATTAAACAATTATAAAGCTTTTTGCAGCTGCTAATCACTTTAGTATATCCTGAAAAAAAGCTTAAAATATTAAGACATCCCATCCATTGCTGTTTGGCAATAGCTGATACGTTTCCAAGTTACCTTTTGCCATATTTATTTGTTCACCAAATGTCTGCATACTTTTCATCGAGAAATAGGGTGTGGTTTTACAAGTATCATACATTCACTGATCTTTTTATTCTGTTTCCCAGTACGTTTTATGAAGGAAAAAAACCTTTCAGAATGCAGAGGAAACACTTCTGCTATTTCAATAAGATATATTGTATGGTTTGGATATGGTACACTACATACAAAGGCCTCTTTTTTGAGAAGTTCAGTGTTGCTCACTCATTTGGAAACTGATGTAACTTTTGTGAAGACACTTTTAGATTTCTAACATAATATTCAAATGCACAGTGTCTCCATCCGCGGCAATAAAAACAAGACCTTACTAATTGGAGGGTTAATTGGATTTGAGTTGAACAGGGATTCAATAAATTAGATAATCCTTTCCTGTAGTCCAGAATACAAATCTTTTGTCTACCTATGAATAGTATCCACAATGTGTTTGTTATTGGTTTAGGGTTGGGGACCGGAAACATTATTGGATGGACAAGGAATGTTAAACAGGTTGTGAGGAAGGAGGTAAAGGAAGGACCCCTTGCATGGTACAATAAACAACTTAATCCAGAAGATGGCAGTATTGAACCTGCAGCTCATGCAGTCTGGTTTAAAATGTGCTGTCATCAGGAACAGGTTTGAGAGGCTCAGGAGACAAACAATGAGCCCCCTCTGCCCACACCACCGCCCCTCTCACTCTATTGCTTGGTGATGTGAATTCGGTAGACGGTGCACAATGACACCTGTCAGAGTTGATATTTTTGAAAAGCTTGAATAAATTGACTGTAAATGCCTCTGTCAATGCATGAGTCACTGCAGGCCAACATTACCAACTGCATGACTGCACTGTTTGTTGATATTTAAGGAATCAGGACAAACTTTTGTTTTGTGTCTTTCATCTGATGCGCCTGTCGTTATTTTCTAGGTTACGTGAGGAATGGCTATCGAAGAGTTTGCATTTGATGTAAATCATCCCCTCCAAACCTTTATTCACAACATTGCACAAATGATTGACTCTCAACAACAATAATACATGGCTGAAAATGTATTGTCATATTAGCTACCATATAGGAACAAGTATTTATTCAAAAACAGATTTAAGTGCCCCAAGTACAATAGATTGACCCCCCCCCTCATATATTTGTATTACCTGCTATCATTTCAGTAGGTGCCAATTCCCTAATGGAGGATATTGCATTTTAGAATCAGCTCTTTTCTTCCTGGAACTTCATAAAACATTTTTGATCATACAATAATTGCTTTGCTTACAAGCTGGCTCATCTTCAGCCCCAAATACTTAACATGATTGATTTCTCAGTATTTTCTTTTAGAAAATGGTTTCGACCTTTTGAAAGAAATACGCTTTTCTTGCAGAGAGTAAGATGGGAATATTGATAGCACTCTGTATGATAAATAGGAAACTACAACCAGCAGCCGGCTATCTTAGCTAAGCATAAAGACTAGAAACCGCTGTGTATCTATTAGCTAATATAAGATAAGATAAGATAGAGCTTTATTGTCTCCCTTAGGAGAAATTTGTCTTGGGCATCTAGATAATAAACATAAAACATTCAGGTCAATCAGTCATAGATACAGGACAGAGATCACATATCACATGGCAAAGAAACAAACAAGAAACATACAGGTACAGCACTTTCCCTATAAAGTGCTGTACCTGTATGTTTCTTGTTATGTAAGCCACCAAACTCGGTCTATATTCCATTTTTATTTTCAATAATTTTGCTGCAGGTACTAATAGGAAAGTCTGTGAGGCCGCTTTGCCCCCAGCCAATCTTGCTCTAACTTGAATCATGGCCTTATTAATTAACATATTGAACTGCCCGTTTTCAAAAGGTCACATTCAGCACCCTTCGCAATTCAAGGATTTTGCCTTACATATCCTCACACCAGACAGAGATGTTCTTACAGTCTTTTTTTCTTCCTATTAGAAAATGCCAGAATATACAGCACAGGTTTTCTTTTTTTAAGTACTTGTGTAGCTGCTGTCTGATTAGGCTTTAATGATGTGACACCTTTTAATCATCATGATATCACAAGTGGATGATTGCATTTTTCTCCTGCCTCTCTGCTGTTTCGGTCTGACTTCTTAAGCTTTCTGAATAGATTACCAGAGATAAACCTATTGTGCCGAGTGTGAGAAATGACAGACCTCTGTGTACACTGACCCTGACTCAGCCTCCTGCTGCTTACTCAATGTCCCTAAATGGATTAAGTTGTCAGTTGGACAGCCCATCTGAGATTTTTAATATCCAGCCTGAGGTATATCAAGCAACCGTCTGCCAAATGGTATCAGAGGGATTAGCCTCGGTTTTATTGCAACTTTCTCTCTCTCTCTGCTCCTTTTCTCATTTAAGATATGGTCATGCCCTCTATGATTCCTTGAGGGTTTTTCACTTTTACATTAATAACACATTGAGGAGACGAATACAAATACATTCCTTGAACTCCAAAACGAATGTTATGTTTTATAGCTTAAATGTATTGCATATGTGTGGTAGAGAAATCCAGAGCGCTCCTACGCCATGGTTCAGACATGGCACTAACATGCGTCTTATGTGCTCCACGTTGCTTAAGTTACCACTTGATCAAATCTCACTTCCCCGCTCTATGTAAATAACATGAACATCGTTTTGGTTTGCATATAAAGCACATATTGAAAAGTAGTTCTGGTATTGGTTTGTTGTGTGTATGTATACACTTTAGTTCTTACACTCACATAAAAAATAAATTATTATGGAAATATGTAATGACTAATGAAAAAAGAGCCACAGTGTTTACCAGGATTTCTCCGCTCGGCGGCCATAGGCTATTGTGTAAAATGTATGGTTTTTCTGATAATCTTTATAAACTCTAAAATCTTTGAACATTGTCTATTGACAGTTCCCAAGAACCGAGATCATCTCGTTTTCCTGGCAACATAAGTGCAAAGACCTCCAATAAGCTGGGGCTAAGAGCATTCGGGTGGGTGTCAAATCTGTAGAACACCATCCTAAATTACCATCAGTGTGATTATACCATCAAAGACACGAGAATTACTCTCTATGTTTTCTGTGACATGAAAAATACTTTCAAAAGAGATGGCCAAAAGCCAAAGAGTCATGGGTTATTGCGAATCCAATCTTCAGCCACATTAAAGGCGCTTCTCCGTATACTCTGAAAAAAAGATGGTAAATCGCGACCCAGACCCACTCTGAAGGTGGTTTTGAGCAATCGGATCTCTTTGCCTCCTCAAAGCATCTTTTGTGCATACCTAAAGTGATCGGATCACATATGAAAGATGTTTATTCCAGCTGGGCCTACATTTACTAACTTCATCATTTTGTGTTGTTTCCACTAAACCAAAAACATCAACAACAAAAAAAAGACAGATAAGAGTGTGAAAGAAACACAGCAGACTCTTGAAGACTTAAAGGGGACCTATTATGCAAAATCCGCTTTTTCACATATTTTATACATAAACATGTGTCCTCTCTGTGTAAAAAGATTCTGAACGTTTCAGGAAAAAAGATTTGCTCACTTTTTGTCCTGATCCATTTATATGAAAAACCTGTCTGAAAATGAGCTGATCAGATTTTGGCCACTGTGTAACCATTAGCCAGTAACCAACCAAGGTAACCCCCCCCACCTTATCATCTGAATCTCCTCCTAGAGCACCATTGTGTTCTTTTTAACCAAATATCTCTCAGAGGGGCGTGGGGAGTGGCTCCTTATTTTCATCTAAAGTAACAGACCCAGAATCAGCACTTTTGAAACAGGGCTGAAACAGAGGGGATTATGGGATGCTACAATGCATGATCTGTTTGGTATATCGAGCCAAACACTTCAGAGACATGTTTTGTCTGAGACCTATTATATATTGATGAAAAACAGTATAATAGGGGACCTTTAATAGATTTGTGAAGAGACACGAAACTGACCAGCAGCTTATTGACCTTAAGCGAGAGGACACAGAGATCATTGGAGCGTAAATGACACCCACCTCTAAAAGTATGCAATAAATGTTCATTTCAGCCTCTTTGCAGGGATCCAATCACTTTGAATAGACCCCGACTTCCCCTATCCATGGTGCTGAAGTACTGTCCATAGTGCTGACATTGTAAACACTTTAGTATAGAATGAAGTCTGACAGTGCGTTTGGACTGATTTCATCACATTAAGTATCCACGGAGAGAAACATGTCAGTTGTCTATGTGTATTCATGGATTTCCTTCCCTTGGAAAAGTGTTTGGTTTACTGAGCCTGTTTACTTGTGCTTGTTTGTGTATCTGTGCGTGTGCGTATGAGTGTGAGGGTGTTTTTATACCACAAAAATAACTTGAAACTGTAGCTTTGGGTCGTGACAGAGTCACATACCAAACTGCCTTCGATACAATACTTTGAAAAG